TCCCTTCAGATATCTCAAGAAGCGCAAGGAGTACAAACATGTACCTTTCCTGGGATTACTGTCCTCTAGGGACCAAACTAACTTGTGGAAATACAAGTACCAGGATGACCTAAGTAAAGAAACTAATAGGATACTCTGAATTTGTATCTTAAACATTTTTTCCATGCCACGCTGTAGAAATACAATGGAAGTAGAATTGGCAAATACCATCCATATGCTACACTACAAAATGACTGACAGAGCACAATCTGAACATTACTCCTGGACTGAATCAAGAGAATGCATTAAAAAAATGCATAAGTGGAATACTGATATACATTAACTCAATCTTCTCTTATTATGGAATTAAAAACCTTATACCTGTAATTATGGCTTACCCCCATTACAAGCAGAGCTGCCACAAAACTGAACACTGGCCAGCTTTGTACATGAGTTCAAAGCCAGTGTGATGTTGCCTTATTTTCTTACTAACATCATCTTTATCCTCTCTTGCCCTTCTTCTCAGTTAACAAGAGTTATGTACTGAAAGTGCTGAGATAAAGTAATGGTAAGGAGGATACCGCAAAAGGTATTTGAAAAGCAGAAGTAATTTACTACATGTCTGCTTTGTTTTACTTCCTAAGCCTTCCTGTTGTGAAAGAAAATTCATCTTTTCTGGCAGACTCCAGCCTTTTTAGGCCTGAGAGCTCCCCAGGAGCTTTCGAGTGCAGGTAAATGGATGTAAGACTCAAGGAGTATAGCACAAGGAACATGGAATTAATGTTGGTTTTTGCTTTGGCTGTCACGTCTGACGTATAAGGAGAGTGCGACATCCTTGCTTGCAAGTATCTAGATGTAAAAAACACAAGGCTGAGTCCTCTGCTCATTACTATGGGTCTGAAATGCCATGAATGGAAAGGTCATGTTGCTGGTGGGTGAAGCATGTAGGATCTACACCCAGCAAAGTCTCCACGTGAGAAAGATGTCAGGGTGCTCCAAGCCTCAGGGGCCCACGATGTAAAAGCGCAGAGGAAGGACTGTGGATGGACAATAGGTGCAGCCTGTATTCTGCATGCAGCGGAGACCCCAAGAGTAGGCACAGGGGAAGCATCCACTGCCTAATCTAAATAGCACACAGAGTGGTTTTGTCCTCTTCTGTTCTCCTGCCAGTTTGCACATATGTTCTGAGTATACAGCCTGCCCTCCAAAGACCACTTACAGGGGCAATCACAAGGAAGCAAAGCAGGAAGAAAGTACCCAAAAAGGGAATTTGTTCAAGAGAAAAAAATGGAGACAGATGTAGAGCGACTAGTCACGGCTGGCGGTAAATAACCCTCTGCCTGGAGTGCTCTCTTTCTGTAAGAGGAGTTCACATATTCCATTTCATATTTCCTTTCTAGGAAGTAAAATCTTTGTTTTCCTGGCATTTGTTCTTTTTTTTCTTTCCCCTATATACTTTTTCCCTTCTGTATGGTCTAAAATTGTCTTCTCATTTTCCCTTTCTCTTCTACATTGTGCTCTCTTTCAAGTGCGACATTTCTCCAACTGCACCCTCACACAGACCTAATTTCCCTGCACTGTCCCAAGCAACATCTTTCACTATAACCCTCTCACAGTCTCTGTGCCGTGAGCACTTCCCTCTGTCTCTACATGTGCATAAACATACGGGTGCTTCACATCTGCTCCTGCGTTACAGTCCCCACTTTTTCTCATGTGCACACCTCAGAATTAAGCAAATGCAACACACACAGACAGAATATTCATCCTCTCATTCCCATAAACCTGTCAAGGCATATAGGCCAAGAAGCTATCTCTGCATAAATCTAAATCTCCGGCGAGGAAGCAATCTACTCAAAGGCAATAAAGCCAAAGGATATATTATTATCTTTGGTGTGGATCCTACTGGGCTGGGAAGTTGGCTGCTGGCTCCTCTCTGAACTTTCCTTCCCAGCCAGAACAGCCATCCCACAGACAAGTCTAAGCTTCCTTTCCTTGGTCTGATTTCCTCCTCCCGTTGTTTGGCTGGTAACCCAAAGGACAGGGTTTAATTATGGAGTTTGGAAACCTGGCTTACGCTAGTCTGCCAGCACAGGATAAAACTTCATCCTGCCTTCAGAACCAGCATCATTCTGCACTGCTGATACCTGCATTATCCCACGCAGCATAAAATGAACCACATGGAAGAAATGCCAAGTCAAACAAAAAGACGGTTTTAGTCTTTAAACTTCTACTGCGAATTTCACTGAGAAAAAACCAAAACACTGAAGCTCAGAGATTATTGTATGTTAAAACTGCCCGCATTTTGACCGTAGATTAAATAAATGGCAAGGGCTTTTTCTGGACAGGAGAGACGTCGGAACGGATGAATCTGAAACAGGTCCAGGGTCCAAAGCTCCCCTCTCAGAGAGGAACGCTGCGGCAAGTCACTGGGTAATATGGGACGTTAACATAATTTGTAGGGCTTTCAGATGACCAGTATATTTTCTAGGCAGATGCCACATTGAAGACATAAAACATTTTACACTTCTGGAGATAAAGCACCCATGTCAAATACAAAGGGCCAGACATTTATATCAGACCCACATGTGATTTATGAGGTAAGGCAGAGAACTGTGCACAGCACCACAGCAGGATGTGTCCCTCAGCGGGGAGCACCTTGTGCCAGTGTCACCCTGGCATCAAAAGACACTTCAGTACTGTTTTGTCCTTCACCACTGATGAGCTGTGGCTCTTTAGGTAATCTCTCTGCCAGCCGTGCTCTTGCAGTGACCCTGTTTTACACAGAAGCTGAGGCAATGAATTCAGAGAGGCTGCTGGAAAGCCACGGCAGAAGTATTGGGGTGGGGCTGCGTGGATATAGCATAAAGATGGTTTGAAAGTGCATACCATGCAGGCAGGATAAAGCTCTTTTTCTTCACAGCTGTGACAGTGATAGATAGCTTGGTGAATCTGAGCTATATCTAGTTGGTACCTGGCTTGAGTCCCTGATGTTGCAAGGTGATTTTCTGCCATTTTACAGGCAAGACTAAGCAGAATCTGGGATTCTTCTGTAGTAAGTGAGGAAGATCATGAGGAAGGAATAACCTTCTCTTCTCTGACTTGTTCTTGCCTCTCTAAGCACCTCAGCAAGTTTGACACGGGCAGTTGTGCTTCTTCATGATGAGCACCCAGCGGTGTCAAGAGTGGCGGAAGTGCTTTGGAGGTGTAAGGCTTTAGATACTTCTCTTGTCCAGCTCAGCAGCTCAGTGCCACCATCTAGCCAGGACTTGGATGAGACAGAGGTGATGACCACATGTGGGGAAAACCACCAGAAGTGACATCAAAATTAATAGCCAACCTCTGGATGTTGCACAAATGGAGAACATTTGTCATTAACAAAGAGTACCCCAAACTTTGGGGGGAGTTAGCCCCTACTCTGACAATGATGTAGAAGCAGTGACCCAGTCAGCTTTTAGCCATCTGTGTCTGCAGAGGAGGTTGTGATCTCTCCCTTTCTATGGGCACTGAGCTTTTGTTCGTGTTTTTGCCGCTCCATGAGTAGACCAGTTTAGTACAAGGTGAAGCTCTGCCTTACATCATCTGGAGCCTGGAGCTGATGGAGGAAACAGCCCCTAGTGTCTACTGAGCAGGACACCTCACTGAAAACACCAGAGCCCTGGGGATGGTGGCAGCAAGGCAGTCACGGGGAGCCTGGCACTTGTCTGCCTGCAGGTCCACCCTCTCCGCCTGCCAAAGTGCCACATCTGCAGTCAATAAGGGCCCACAAGCTGGCTCCTCCTCATTAGAGGAGAGAGGGCAGCTGGCAGGGGATCCTCCAAGGGCTCCCAGGCACGGGAATCAGTCCCCTCCCAGTCTGGAATAGCCCAAATTTGGTGACTTTCTGGGCATGCTGTAAAGGACAGCTGTTTGACAGGGTCTCCAGAGAAAGCTGTGGGTATGTTTCCTACATGATGAAGGATATAGGTGGCTGGCCAAGTGCCCACAGAACTGATTTTAATGCTGTTCAGGTTGAATTTACTTTTCTGTGCTGTATATAATTCATTATACACAGTGCCCTGGACAAGCATGTGTTGTTTCAAAACAAACCAAAAACATACTATTTTAAATCCAAACAAGCAAGCAAGAAAAAAAAAACATATTGCGAAAGATCCTTTGGGCTATTTAGAGGGCCCTCTCAAATACTGGAGGCTGAAGATGAAAGCTCTGCTTGCCTTCATCTAACAAATAAGACTTCTGATATTTTTATTGGCAATAAATACTTGATTATTTAGCTGTAAGCAAAATTGAGGCATTAACTTCACCTATGCATGTAGCACTGACCCAGAAAAATATTTCCAATAGTATTAAGCACCTAGATGATCTCAGGATAAGTGATCGATAGACAGTTAAGTATGTAACATAACATAACCCAAAAGATGATCAACAAGAAAGATCACACACAAAAATTAACTGAGAAAAGGCAGAACAGCTGCTTCCTAAACCTTATGAAGTGTAACGCCCAGTGATATCTATTTTGATATGAAGCCTCCAATCACACTTCATAGTATTACAGATTAATAAAACAAATCCTTCGGTAAGTCTCTTAAAAGTCATTACTAAGTGAGCTCAAGTGTTGTATGATGCTTGAAAAGTCCTTCTACCTTATATAAGTTTAGGGATATTAATTTAAACAGTATAACTGTAGGGCACAGCCTAGGCAGGTACTGCTTTTTGCTAAGCGATTGTCACCGCTATCCCAGAATTGAATGTGGACGTTTTGACAGAAAAAGACCACCTATCTTTTGCTGCATTATTTAAATACTTCAGATATTTGGCCAAAATACAGAAGTGACACACTACAGAAACATTCACAGCTGCAGGAGTAATAAAACCACTACAATATTTTCATTAGACTGACCTTTTCTCAGAAGTTACAAGATGTTTAGAATTGATCACCTTTCTATACAGCATTCAGTGTATTCTGATAACAAAACAGAGCAACTGGAGATCATGTTCTCAGGCTCCTGAAAGCCGTGGCTTACCTGGCTCCACTTCATGCCATCCACTTGACTGGCTGCCACTTCCTGGAGAGCGCCCTTGGCTTGTATAAAACGGCTCCTCACCAGGACTGTCCATCTCATCCTCCACAGACTTGAGACGTTTTGTAGAGCTGAGAAAGTAAAAACACATAATAAATACTCTATGTACGGAAAGGAACAAAGGCACTTCTGTTGGCACATATCTTGCTAGCCCTGCTTGAGACTAACTTGGTTATGGAAACTATAACAGATTTAGGGCCCTGAGAAGGGGAAGGTGTGAGTCCTGCACAGCCATCCTGCCCGCCCAACTTCTCAGCATCCACTTCTTGTTTCTGATTTGCTTTGTTGCTAATGACTAAGCTTCAGTGAGATACAAAACAATCTCTCACAGAGTCCAGACTGAACCCTTAAACACGCGTTAGTTTAACTAGAATATATTTTAATAGTTAGGCTTTTACAGATCAAAAAGCAGGACGTTTTTCAAACTTCTATTTTCAATCTTTTAACCGTAGCCATTAAATTAACCCAGACTTCAGTCCCATAAGAAGAAGCGTGGACAGGTGAATGGTGGAAGAATCCATTGTTGGTTCAAACGTTCATGTTATCCTACAAGTATAAGCATTTTACTCTGCAACTGTATGCCACCAAGCATAAAAAGCCCCCAACAGGTATCTCTGGCTAGTGTCAGTACTAAAGGATTCCCTTGTGATATATCACACCTCCCTCACCAAAGACTCAGGAGACAGAAGAGCCCTTTCAGTGGTCTCTGGTGGCCACTGACTCAGACTCTGGTAGTTCCGCAGGGAGCGGATCCCAAAGCCAAAGACACTCAGCTTGGCTCTATTTTCTATAATGAGTTGTACAGACTGCGTGGGGACGTTACCGAGAATTTCTCTTCTAAGTACTATTCCAAGGCTGGGTCAGCTCACTTTTTTCACCAAATCTGTATTCTATTAAGACTTAAGGCATTCAAGAACAGGCTCCTCTGTGTAGGGGGAACGTATTTAACAGACATAAAATATTCCACTGCAATTTCTATTGGTTTAAAACTTGCAGCCTCTCTGCAGCTCCCCACCCGAAGCTCTGCACAGGTAGGAGCTGGCGGGTATGCAAAATCAGTTTGTGAGAAACAAGAAGAATAATTCTTGCGGTATGTGTGGAATGCAGGTTTGGCCATTCCTTAATTTAGAGAATTGTTATGTGTCAGTAGGGGAAATTGTGTGCATACAATATAATTACCGCCTGATAATTCTGCTGAGTCTGTGTATTTAAGGAATATTTTTTTTTTTCTGACTGGGACAGCCTAATGAGAGGAAAACAAACATATTACCAAGTTATTAACTACCCATGCTGTTTATAATTAGCTCCTTATCAGTGGTAGCTATTTGCAGAAGAATAGAAGAGCAACAACTGAGCTCTTAAGTAACATTAATAACCTCACTTTTTTGCTTCTGGAGTCACAACTAAATTCTACCTGAGAATGGTGCTAATGATAAGCACTGTAGGGTACACAGTTTACATGCAAAAAAGAAAGAGCACAAAGTTTTTATAATTGACGTGTAATGGGAATTGTAGTCACCGAGCTTCTTAATGTGCACACTAAGTGCAAAATGTAGAATGTTCTTCCAATCACTGCAAACTGAAAGAAGTTATTGCTAAAAGCCTCTCTTTAAAGATTTTTTTTTTAAATAAAAACAACAGCTATATTCAAACTATAGAGACTTTTTACATGTGCGCTTGCTTACTGCAAAGCTGGTGGCACTGCAGACTGAGATAAAAACGTAAAAGAACCCTGGGCTGAAGTCAGACTTCCTTGTCATGTCTTTGAAATAAGTGATCTATTTTGGCTGTGGGGGACAAAAAAAAATCAATCTGGTTCCTTAATAGTGTTCAAGACTACCAGAGTGACTGGGCTTGTTTATAAATCTAACCTCATGGATGGTTAAAGTGAAAGGTAAAAAATAAAAAATATTCTTGTTTGATAGGTGCCATCTAAGCCAAAATCAAAATCAGACTGGGTAGTCATCTGCATTAACAATTCAGTTTTCCAAAGGCTGCGTCACAAATTTCTAAATGCTATATGAAAATTAGAATGCATTATAGGCCAAGGTCCAAAAACGATGTTAGTCTCACAGATAACACTTTTTATGATAAAAGAATGCATATAAGTCTATCTTAAGACTTTCCTGCTATGACAAAGTGGCACATCTCAATATGCTCCAAATTCTCTTCTGCCACAAGTGAAACTCCAACAATTCCAGTGGAACTTCTCTTGATACACCGAGATACAAGCCAGAAGTTATGCAAGTCAATGCAGCAGTTTTTCTTCGAAGCTTCTATGTATAAAAAGAACTTTAACAGCAATCCAGTTGAACATTCGGCTCTGTGAATCTGAAACAGCTCCACAGCTTGAGGCCCCCAAACAGCTTGTCAAAGAATTTAATGGTTACTTTCCCAGATGAGTAATGATGCTCGCCTGGGTTTCCAAGTAACCTGGTAGTAGGCAGAGATTAAATTACCTGGTAGAGGATGTGCTAGGTAAAGACCTCCTCATTGCTCCTGGGCTCATGCTGTAGTATGAAGAACTTTCCAAATCTGAGAGGGAGAAATTAGGACCTGTTCCTGCAGCTATCGGTGCTGGGGAAACAAAAGAGATTGCAGTCAGTAAGTCATGTGAATAAGGCACGAATTGCACTTTCTTCTTCCTCGTGAGTGTGTTTCGTTTCACAATGAGAACAGGTGGGGTGTGGAAATTATTAGGAAATACTAATGGTAACCGGCATTGCAATCAAGAAGATGTAAATTTATCAAGAATACAATGTTCCATGACATAGACTCTTTCTTACATTCCTCCAAAGGTATTCTTTTTAAAAAAAAAATTAAACAATTATGGCAAGACTTTCTTTAAGCACTGCTTTTCTACTAATATAATTCTAACATTTAATCAAACTTGTTGCTTTTGCTTTTAGGACAACATCACATCTATTGGCATAGTTACAAATAGGCTGCATCATCCCTGTAGTGTGCTTGGCATAATCTATAAGCAGTTCAGGCAGGGAAATACACACTTCAGGACCTTTGGTATATACGTGATGTACATCCACAAGCATAGAGGTTACAAATGCTCCTTGGAGAAAGCACAAAAGCAGATGAGAAACCTGAGTTCTTTTCTGCCTGTGAACATCTGAGCTTTCCTCTGGCCTCTCCTCCAGCTAAATCAGAGCTAGAGACATACGACTCTCAAAAACTTTTGTCCAGCATTTAGCTTCCACTGTTCACCTCTCATTACCTTATCCAGCACCTAAGTTTTATAGTAAGGTATATGAATACCTTTAATTTCCCTGTCCTAGAGCTTTGGTTTTACATTAAAACATAATGAATTCCCACACACCCTGAAGTTTGCAGGCACAAGCCTATGAACGCCATGTACCTTATTCTTCTGGGAACAGAAAAGGAACAGAGCAGTTTAATGTTAAAGTCAACAGACAATGCATTTCACGAAGAAATGCCACTATATGGCAAATGGTACCATATCCACTGTTGCTGTTCCAGTGCTATTTACAGGACAATACAATTTTGGGAGCTGACAATTACAGATCATGATTTTCTCTCACATTTCAGAGACATCTGAAAAAGGACGTACTGCACAATTAAATGCACAAGCTTGGCCTGGAACGTATTGTCTGAGAGCCCTGATTCACAGCAACAAAGGCGAAGCAGTCTCAATGCCACACAAGGATGCTGAGCCAAGTTTAATCTTTGGTCTGAGAATCTGGCCCACTTTCAACCATGAAAAAATCTTTCACTCTGATGGGGCAGGAGTGAGGAAATGAAGACAGGATAGCTCCTATCACCCAGCTAACATGTCTGGGCTGAAACACAGGCTTCTGGGAGTGCTGCCATTGACTGTAAAGGGGCCAGTATTTCACCCCAAGTCTTAAGGAGCTCACAATGTCAGATTTGACAAAGGAATAATGTAGCTTTGCAGCTGCCTCATCATCCCCACAAGACAATTAGTTGTTGTTTGGCAAGGATCTTTTAAGAACGTCATTGAGACAGAAAGGGAACAGCCTAGATAGCCACGGACTTTTAAAAGCATGGGACGGAAAATACACAACGCCATTAAAACTTGAGAAAATCTGGAATGATCATTAAAAGGAACTAAGTTGGGAAGTAATTTATGACAAGAACACTCAAATCCTTTGTTATCTTCTCTTAACTATCATATGCTTCCTGCACACTAGGTATATGAGGGGGTGTGTTAACAGAAAGAAAGAAAAATTAAGCATAGTAAAATTAACTCATTTTATCAATTTGTGCTTTCTGCAACAGTTTCCTGACAGCAGCTACAAGAGGCTGTAAAACTGATGAATTTGCATGGAAAAAGAAACCGGTGTAAGTAATTTGTGTAAAAGGTAACACGGACATGGACTGCTATAATTCAGACACCCTGCAGATAGCAGACTGCTGCAGTGTGAGCAGTTATGGGTTAGAAAAATGACCACACTGCAGTCAGTCTGACTTGAATGGAAATCAATCATAAAGGTACTCTCTGCAGCATCTACTCCACAGTTTTCAGCAACTTCCTTGCCAAACAGATTTGTGGTCTGTAAACCCTTTGCTGATCAATTCCTCTGCACCCTCTACCTACCAAAGCCTAACTTACAGGTTAAGCATACTATTTTCCAAACAGGAACATAAAAAGGCAAGCACTAAATTAAAGCACCGTTTCTTTCTGAAGCACAATGAATTTCCTAGCCTTTGCAGGATTTATGAAACAGTTTTATTCCAAACAGATATGGAAGAAAAACTGGCATCTGGATAACGTTTCTCTTCTTTCTCTCACTTCCCTCTGTTTATCACTCTCTCCCCAAATCCTGGACGTTTCTGTTCCAACCCTTGAATTGGCCCTGTAGGAAAATGAAATGTATCTCCAGACCAGGGGTGGGGTAGAAACAATGTATTGCTAATGCTGTGTAAACTCAGCACAAAGTAGAAAGGGCTAATCACACAGTAATTTCTGCCCAGGTAGCAAACATGAAGGATGCTTTGTTTGTCACAGGCCAAACCACCTTGCCATACTCAGGAGCCTGTTGCCACCTGAGGGTTAAAGAACAAAACCCACCTCTAATATACACCAACAGATCTAAGCAGCGGAGGTTAAAGTGCCTACCTGGTCTATGGCGGCGAGTACCTGAAATCCCTTGGCAGTCCTTACGTAGGAGCCACAATCCTGCCACAACCAGCTCAAGGTCTCTGGCCCTAGAAGTGCTGTGGCAAACATTGCACAGGGCTAAGCTGTTCTGAAATCCCTTCCTCTGCGTGCCTGACAGGCACATATTTGGTGCCTGTCTTTCAACAAAGGGTATTTGTATCTTTGCTTGCAGTTACCCCATTTACTATCATAAAACACAGCAACGTGCTGATGCATAGAGCACACCCTGAGACTGTCAGGGAGAGGTTAATGTTTTTCATTCGCATGGCGGAAGGTTGCTTCCTCTTCCCAGATGGAATTTGGTTGAAGCCATGAATGCTTTCTGTCTCTGCTTCAGCCTCAGCGGAGCTGAGCCACACCTTGCAACTCCTGCGCTGGGCTTCGGCTGTGGGGAGCTCGCTGCCTGGCATCTGCCTCCAGTTACCCTTGTGTTTTGCAGTGCAACGCGCCATGAGAGTGGGCACGGTGCAGCTAGCCCAGCCAGGAGGCATCCGAATCTGCTCCAAATGGCTTTTCACACTGCCTTTGCAGACTGTCCACCTTGTATGGGCCCAGAAGCTGGTGGAAAGGCAACACTTATATTTATTTGCAGGATTCCCCGCAAAGGCTGCAGCTCCAGAGAGTAAGCAAAGGGATCCAAGTGGTGCAAACTGTGGCAAAATTCTGTCTAAATTAACCCTCTTCATTGTAGCACGTGATGATCCACCATGCAACCTCCCTACACCCCTCTTCCTACATCCCAGGAACAGGCTCTGCCCCCACACAAAGTGGCAGCATGGTTGTGAAGCTCCACTCCAGGACAGCCGGCTGTTACACACTGCAGCCTGCAGAAACTCCAGGCAACGACATTAAAAACACTCCATTTCCCCCCTTAAGAAATGTTCTGCAGCAAAGTGACCTTCTGATAGTTCAGGAACATCTCCCAAACAGGAAAGGATGTCAGAAATTGCAGTTGCAAGTCAAAACAATAGTCTCCACCTACTGCCGGCATCAAGATGTCATCTGACCCAGGCCTCCGACCTGGCAGGGGGCAAGGAGGAAGGACCCCTCTTCCCCTAACACTCAGCCCACTGATGTGTGCAGGCTTTCTAAGCAAACAAACTGATGCTGGCCTCAGCTCCCAATTTCAGCTGCTGGCATCACAAAAAAATCCCTGTGCAGATGGGACACGTTTCGCTTGCTCTGAGGGGCAGGAGGAGCTAGTTTGCCCAAAAGGAGGAGCAGGAGGAAGGTGGGCGCCTCTGCCTGAGCACCAGCACTGTGCTACTCCTGGGGACACAGGGCAGCAACGCCCCTGCTGCCAGCCTGCTCTCTCCACTGCCAGCTTGTTAGCTCAGATCTTCACCCAAAATGTCAATAAAAATAACAGAGAAATTAACAAAAAGCCCTCTGACTTAACCCAATTGGAATATTTATTTTGAAAAATTTATTGAATTACAGAACAGGAAACCCACTAAATAAAACCAGCTAGGCTGGCATTTGTCTTCCTTGGAATACGGCACTCTCTTTTAGTCATGTTAATATTTAGTTTCTCTTTTTACCATTTTCATGTATTTATTTTTACAAAGGGGATGGGATGTGACTAAGATCATTACATGTGTTAACACTGCAGCAAAGTGATAATGTGTTTAAGGTTAAATGGGAGAAACATGACATTTGACTAATAAACTTTTTCCTGTGTTGTGACTCCATAAACAAAGGGAAACACACTGTACTGCTGCTGCCGAGAGGAAAGGGGAGCTGGTTTCAGTATTTTTTTTTTGCAAGGCCTTTGTTTCCTACACACTGTATCATTAGATTCAAAGAGGTTTTGCCGAATACAACAGATATGAAATGTGTGATGTTCATTTTAAAATTACAAGTACAGCCTGCTATTGACCATCTAATTATGCTGAGTTCCATTTATAAACATAGCTAACCACTAAGTTTATAGAGACTTTTTGTGCTGCTTTAATAGGATATTGATCGAGAGCAAGGTTTGAGTGGACTGCCATTGAATTGTGTAATGGCATACAAAAGGCAAGGTCACGGCAACTGTTCACTCTATGCCTGCAGTCTATTTTTTATTATAATCTTTTTTTCTTCCTCCCATACCTAAGCCCAAACAGTGTGTTTTGGATAGCAGTGCTTTGCTAAGGAATACAGAGTATCTTTTTAAATGTTAATTTTCATGCTGCTGACTTTAACTACCTTCACTACTGTAATGCTTAGTATAGCAGAAAACATACAGGCTGCTGTTTAGAGCTGTTTTATTATACCCCGGCTTTCACACACGTGCTCTGCGTGGAGGAGAGCCTCTTCTCCTCTCCTGGGCTACAGGAAGGCAGCAGCATCCTCCCTGCCCTTTGCAGCTGCCTGCCTGGCCCAGACCCATGACAGGAGCCGGGGCACCCCACACCTTGCCATAGGCATCCAGTATGTGCTGGGGCTGGCAGGACTTTCCTTTCAGTTTTTTTCAGCTGTACCTGGCCACTGGACGAAAGGCATGATGAAGCTGTGTTTCCTCCGTCGCACCCACACTCCATGCCTGGAGCGGTGGCAATTACTTTCATTTCTAGCACTTGTCCACCTGCCTCACAGCAAGGACAGCTTCAGCCCCTGCCTCCATTGCTAAAGCAGCCGCTAACCAAGTCTGGCACCCACCCCATCCAGCAGCCTCGGTGTTGCAGGATCCCGAGCTTTTCAAAATGCCTTGGCCACAAAAGCACCTCTTACCTGTGGAATTAGTGTAACTGACTCAGTGATAATTAGTTGGATCATTTCTGTGTTTATACAGGAGTGGTAAGCAACTGCATGTACACTTGTGTGCTTGTGGTTTCACTGGCTCATTAGAAGGATTAAAAGTCACCCCACTTGCTCCGTACAGCTCCTTACTGCACACAGCTAACATCTTAAAACTCAAAGCGTGGCATTTTCAGTCCAGGGCACAGTCAGAATTCCCTTGTTTATCAGCATGAAGAATGATGTCATTTTGACAAATAACACAGCACAAAACAAATGTGTTTGATTTGGCTCTAGCGAATGTTCATAAATCCTAAGTCTTTCTTCACATCCTGGGCAGTGCAGTTTATCTGGCTGCTTGAAGGACCTCCAAGGGAGGAGATCTTCCCAGCAGCTCTCTACACAAGAGCACACGGTGAAGACTCAAAGCCAAGAGGGGAACAGCGTTCTCCATGTCCCTCTCCTGGCTCCAGCCTGCCATGGCCTCCCAGCCTCTGCCAAGCAAACAGGACTGTACACTCGGCAGTGGCTTGGCACCACAGCCACCCCTCTGCCGGCACCTTTTGCAGAGGGTATTCTCCAGTGCCCTGCATATAGCTGCACACAGTGAGTGGAATATTTTCCTAACAAGGGTAGAGAGGGAGAAAGTTTTGCTTTGCCAACAGCTGGCTGTCAGTTCACAAAACTTGTGTATCACCAACGCTTCTGCTTCTGAGCTTTTTGTTGTCAGCCCAAACCTCTCTGGAGATGGAAGAATGAAGTCTCTGTTATCTGAAGGGGTCTCCCCAGTATCTGGTGTGACAGACAACACTTAGAAAGGAGCTCACACCCTTTGCTGGCTAATAATACAGGAGAACTGACAGCATGGTCTGCAACATCCACATCAGATGGGGTGGAGAGGGGTCTACCTGTTTTTCAGATGAACATTTATGATCTACTTTCTCTATTTTACTAGGCTTTGCAAGATTCAGTAGCTGGGTAGCATTTCGAAAGAAAATCTGCATCTATAGGACTGAAGAAAGCAAGTTTCTGTTACCAAAACAGTCTAGACTTGTTCAATAGCTCACAGAAACTGTGATGATCAGCACTGATAAGTAAGATAGATAATGGTAACAGCTGACCTTTTGCTTGATTAATTCATTCCCCAAATTTGCATGACGGAGACAACTGCCTATTACTTGAGACTCCTTGCCATGTGGACCTCTGGGAACTTTAGTAAATAAACCTGGCACATAATTGCTACCAACAATATTTCGTAAGATTAATTATAGATAACAGCAGCAAACCACACGCCAGTTAAAACTGTGGGAAATCACACATTGCTATCATCGTATTATCAAAAGCAAGCATGGAAAGAAACATGACAATGGGCATACACAAAGATTACCTCTTTGTAAAGCCAACGCAGTGCATACTCAGGAAGAGAGCAGAGACTAAACGTGAGGGCCCACTATGGAAAGGCAGGCTTGTTCCTTCCCTAGCCATGGTGGCTTCTGAAGGAGCAATGACTTTTTAGAAAGTAAAACCAAGAGAACGGACTGAGGGCATTTTGATTACTCAAGCTACAGACTGTAGCTGCCGGTGAGTCTGGATGATGACTGTTCCTAAGGTGAGCTCCCCAGCATGAAAGTAACCCATGGACTGGTCTCAAATCAAGACACAGGAACATGTAGACAACCCAGCAAGGGTTATATTGAAAAGCACACTCTTTAAAAGACCTTGCCTGCCAATTTAGGCAAATATGCAGCAATTACTTCGTTGCTCTGTTATGTTAAATAAGTCTTTGAATATTAGCATGTGAATTCATACTGACTTTGCTGTGAATTTGTTGCTAGACTCTACACTAAACATATCCTAGTGGGTAGCCACGGCATGTCAGGCTGTGGGCTTCTCAGACCTCACAAAGTAAACAAGGTTATGGCTGGTCAGGACATGTCTGGGGCATCTCCAAGGAAAATCCAGGGTGATATCAAAGGCAGTGTAGCTAAATCAGTTGCTGGCACTCTTCCCTCTGAGTCAGTTCTGAAGTGATATCCCGATATGCTTTGGGGACACTATTTTTGGTAGAGGTGCTGGCTTGTAGACAGGATGTAAAACTGAGGTCTTGACCTCCCAGGATTATTAAAGAGCTCATGAAAAAGAGTGCAAACCCCTGCGTCTGGAACAGATAAAAGCTGAATCTTTTTATTTTGCCCACCAACACCTCCTTTCTTATTTCCGATAAAGTTCATGCCTGTCCTGCTCTTTCTGCGTGCAGGTGCCCTACCCTTGGAGGTGGTGCATTTCAACAGCAAGTAGAGGGAATGTCGTGGACACAGGTCATAGTTTGCAAAACATGCTGAATGCTAGGATTTCTGATACACAATGTTTTCGTTTAGTTACAATAAAATATAATGGAAGATTAATAGACATGAAACATGACGCTCATGAGGTCAATGCCAAACTCTCAGGGAGGCTGGGACTGGGGCTGGCTGTGGAGGCTGAAGTCCTGAACGGGGGCACTTTTCTAGCAGCCCTGTCCTGTGCACACATGAAGCACGGCTGACAGAGTCCAGAGGCAGTTCTGCCGTGTAGGGCTCCTACAGTAAAGATAAGATTGTGGTGAAGTGGGATGCCTTGCAGAGGGGGAGAATGAATCCTTTGGGCTTCAAAAGCCTTACGCTGTCACACTGAAATAAAGTGACATAACATGGAGACATTCAAAAGACTAGCGTTAACTTGGTTTTGTCCACAATGCTACAGGTACCAGCAAGTTAGTGTACACAGTACAGTGAGTAACATGTCAAAGTCCCTATTTAAGCACTTGAGCAAGTGAACTGATTTGCAAATGTGCTGAGCGCTCAGCAGCTCCTCTTGACTTCTAAGTTCTCTTAACTTTGTCCTTCTCACAAATTCCCACCAGTTGTCAGGGAAGAAAACTCAGGAGAAATGTCTGCCTTAAACTTTTTCTCCCTCTATCTCTCTCTCCAGCACATATAACTGACATTCATGTATCTCCCCCTTGCCATGCTTTCTTTGTAGCATCCCATTTTTGAATATAAAGCCGATTTACTAGCTAGTGCAAGTCTTTCCGAAAGAGGAAATGAAACAGGAAAATCCTTACAGAAACTCTGTGTTCTGACTCAAAACCACAGATTCTCTGCTAGGTTTGTGCCAGTTAAGATTCCAGCCCCAGAAGGACTTAAACTTAAACATGCTCAGAGCCAATACATAAACAAATATTCTAGGAGGAGAACCATTTTTATCACTGGCTGTGATAAAGAGATTGGTTACAAACCCTAAGGTTTTAAAGGGGCACGTACTTGAGTGGTTCACCTGGAGCAGTGGTAATTGGTGACAATGTGATGTTACTGCATGGCTCTACACTAGCTGCAGAGAAGATCCCCAAAGGACTAGTACCTACGGCCCTGGCTTACCAATAGTCTCTCTGCAAGGGACTGTCCATATGCTCTCCTTGGACTATCTGGATTATGTCATAGCAAAATACAATCAATGCACCTTTGATCAATGGAACAGGGTGGTGACAGGTACTCTTAATTCACTGTTGTTAGTGAGCATTGACAAGTCTGTAATGATCATGCTGCAGTGTGTCATTCATGCTGGGGGCATTAGCATTCTTTAAAGGTCAAAAAACAAATCCTTCTAGAAGACTGAATTCCATACAGTTAATGGAAAACGCAGGCCTTGCGAAGTCAAGATGTATGCCTCTGCACAACTGAGATTATCAGAGCTAAAGTTGGTACAGTTGTTGGCATTATTAATGAGTTCATCAATTTGCAGGTGTACAAACACATGGCATGGATGAACACAACATGCAAAAACAGCATAAGAAAATTTCCAGGCTTATGTGCACAGATTATGTCGTTTCTAGAGGTCTGGTTAAAATACAGTCCTTGGATCCTGCAAGAGATCCATTAGGTAAGCTGATCTTTGTAGGCATTTATTTGCACTCTGATACAGAGTCTGCCCATTTTCAGCTGGGTACCAGGTCAACTTGCACATGCAAGTTTGCAGAATTAAGACTTTTTTATTTACTTTTTAAAATTATGCTGTTTTATCTTCCCACTAAAAGATGCGGCACACAAACACTGTCCACTGGTGAGAAGCAGGGAGAAGAGACTCTCAATTTTCAAGACTGTTTCTGAATTGGGGAAGGGGCACAACAAGAATCAAAGAAAAAAACGGGGATTGCAGAAACCACATAAACTGGCCACAAAATGATACTTACTTTGTGAGACTCTTACTAGCTCAGTCACACTGAAAACACCTGATGTGACAAAACTGTCCTGGAAGCCCAAATGTCCTACAAAACAAACAGAGTGAGAGAACTGCGATTAACTTTAAGCATTTAATGACAGTATTCTCAAATACTTTACTTTCATTTAGACTTAAAATGTGACATCTAATTTCCCACTTAGCAGTAATTATTGTTTATGTAGGTGGGTAACTAGTCATACAGCTATGTAGGCTGCTTTGTGGTTTCTATCTAGAGGTTAGGAAAGCTAACGTGACACATCAGCAGGGAGATTTTTACATGTTAAAGCATCTCAACAGGAAATCTGAAACAAAAGAGGACTATTTTAATAAACGGTTACCTTGGATGACCCCTAATGACTTCACAATTGAAATGAAAATACTGTACCTAGGAAACAGACAGGACAGCTAAGTTCCATAATCGTTTTAAACATTATTCTCTAAAGAAACATCTGATCAGGATTATCTACCCATTCATTCAAACAAAACAAGATTTAAAGATGTACTCTTCATTTTCTAAGGTTACACTAGGGAAATCTTAAAATAGCAGCTGGTTAAAAAAAAATTAAATTAATGCCTTTCCCACAAAAAAAAAAATCCTAACATTTAAAACTAGCTTTCAAAAAGAAAAATAAATCTCTGCATAGGAAAAGTATTAACTTTGAGCTTTGGACTGTCTTTAGGAACCAGGGCATACGCTTCCACGCTCGCCTCCGTTGTGCAAGGAATGCCTCTACACTTGGTATCAAAATGTTATTACACTTTACATAACAGTATTCTCCTTCTTCTCTGAAAACATGCCTACCACCAAATGTTCATTTAATTTTCACGGGTATGATCAATTACAAAAGGAGCAGCTTTTGGGCTGCAACCCAGTGTAAGTGTGCAGAGTGGGATACAGCAGTTCACGCGGGACCTATCTGGACTTCAATTAGAGGTCTGCAGTTAGTCGGCCAGACTGACCTCCTGCTTTTGAAATCAGGGTCAAAGGAGAAATCTCAGGATAAAGAGATTATTAAAAGAACTGTAAAGTCCTACTTGTCCACAGGATAAGTGGCATACCTTTTTAGGTTGTCCTACTTAGAGTCACTGATTCCAGCACATGCACACATATATTATTGAATGATTTGCAGTATATTCTACTATACCCTGTGCTCATCACAGCAATACCTGCGCACCTTCCTATAGTGAGCAGAGCAATAGGACTAATGCAAGCTGCGTATTTGTTCTCCTGTCTTTCTTTCAGGGTTGTTTAAAAAAACCAAACATATCCCATTGCCATTTCTACCTGCAGAATGGGAAGTAAAAGAAATGCATCTTGTGTGCAGGACTACAGAGGGTGACATGTCAGGGAAAGGTTTGGGAGAGAGGTCAGCCGTCCATCTCCAGCCAACTCCTCAGCGATTTCTGCTCCTGCACAGAACTCCTCCCCTGTTTCTGTGAGGACCCTATGGTGCCAGATGAATGCAGTCGCTAAGCTAACAGACTTGAGACAAGTTTCTACATCAGGCATGTTTTTATACTTCAGCAATAATGATGAGTTTTCAAACTGTGTATATGTATATCTTTGGGCATCCTTGTGTATGTGTGTATACATATGTATTATGTACACAAACATATAAATATACACAAATCTGTCATGCTCCAGCTGTAGATAAATGTACTATAAAATATTGAAATTGATGCTGAAATTCAACACAAACAAATTCCTCAATCTGCAAACAAGGTTTTTATTTACATCAAGAGAATAAATTTTTCTCTACTTCAAATGAAAAAATGTTCTTACAAGCTTTTATTTTTCCTTCTTTTCAACTCAGAAATAGCTCTCAGATAATTGTAAATGCTTTTGCCTGATCTGCTTTGTATTTTACCATAATAAAGGTGATGACTACATCATTCTGCTTTTTAGAAATGGTTGCAGGCCATACACAATGTTTGTTCATTGACAATTTCCCAAGTATTTTTAATATGAAGATCTACTTTTCATATGCTGCAGCAGACCTGCCTATTGAATTAAATGATCTGTGAATTAAAAATAATTCTCTTAGGTCTGCACTGAAACCACTCATGTGCCTAAAATTAAGCATATGCTTAAGTGCCTTGCTGGATCATGGCCAGGATGCTTACTACTCCGCAGAGCCCTTTGTAGGGAAGCCAGTCTATGCTATATAACTTCTCATACTGTGCTCATCATGGCAGTATCTGACCAACTTCCAGAAGTGCATTCAGCAATGCTATGAACATCTGTCACGTGTTGTTTTTTCACAGTGCAACATACTGGCTCTGCTCTAGTGTCCACTTCTACCTGCATTTCTAAGGCACGTTCCTATCGCACTAAGAGCGAAGGTGAAATTTAAATATGGAAGTAAAAAACAAATCACAGCTACGATAGGACATGTGGCTGATTTTTTAAGGGAAAGTCTAGAGCCCTTTGTAATCATCCAATAAAAACATGATTGTCTCATGGCTAACTGCGTTACCGTAACCTAGCAAACACAGGTAAAACCAGAAATGAAAATGCTGTAGAATGGTTTAAATACATTCTAGCTTTCAGGGTCCCACAGGGCATAAGAAAAGTTGAATAAGTTAGCTTGGGCCTGCTAACTTCATTATTCTTATTTTGCTGGGTGTACTTGAAATGTGCACTTCTGTAGTGGGAACACTTCTTATGCGTGTACATGTAATAGTAATCATTAAACAGCAGCATGCAACGAGAGTGATTAGATTTTCATCCTTCAATACTGAAAATAAACATTTCACAAATGAAAGGTGAATTTCACAATTCTCCAATTTGTTATTTACTTATAAACATTAGGAAATCAGGGACTCATCTCGCCAATCATTAATAATATCTTGATACCCATAAAAGCAACGTCCTTGGCTTAGAGCTGTATCTTGAACTCAATTTGATGCATGGTTGGTCTGTGAATAGTTCGGTAGAACTCCATGAAAGTTTAAAGGTTTGCCTGGATGGTTCAGATTGCAAAATCCAGGCCTAAGACTGTAGCTTTTGCTGAGCTGTGATAACAGTGCAACAAGAAAATGAGAGAAACAGGACAAAGAAGCTAGACATGTAAAAGAAGAATGACTGGGAAATAGCAGGATTGACAAAATATGTGAAGTAAACATTTTGCGCCTATTAACAGGGGTCAAAATGCAATAATATATCAATTTGGCTGCTCCACTTAATTCTGAATCAGAAAAAAGTAGGTAAAGTCAAGCAATTACATATGCAGTTGTTAGCATTAACGAGCTCCTTTACTGAAAAGATGATTAAACATCTTGAAAGCTTGCAAGATTTACTTTTCATACAGCACTTTACTGAAGTACATGCACTGTGATACTTTTGCTAAATATCCCAAAGGTAGGACATTGAAATTACTGTATATGATCTGGTTATCTCCGCAGCTTTGTGTGATAGTCACATTTTGGTAGGAAAGCAGGTGTTCAAAATGAGGATGAGAGAATTTTTACTCACTTTATAAAAAAATAACAGAGCTCATTCACTGAAATTCTGGGTATAAATTAAGACACCTGGCTAGCCAAGGCAGGCCCTGACTCAGCAAAGCAGTTAGAGCATGTGCTTAATTTTAATCACATGCTTGACTAAAGCATATGCTTATTTGCCCTGCCAAATAAAGATAGGCTGACAAAGTTAAGCAGGTATTTAAATATATTGTTGAATCATTGCCTTCAAACCAAGTCTAAGTCCAGCTAGGAGTTAGCTCATTACACAAGACCTCACTTCGGCTCACAAGGATGATCGGTTTTCCCCCAAAGAGGAAAAAACCCGAGGCTTATAAGACCAGATTGAATAAAGCAGATCAGGATACTAACTAATAAATAACATGCCATTACCCAGTCGCATGTCTGGTATTGCATACAAACACGATGCAACACTATCGTAACAAGTACCACATGAAAAATGTTTTTCCATAGCTTGATGATTGCTTTAATTGGGGAGAAAATTCATAATGCGATTTACGTATTCTTCTTTTTGAACCCAGTAAAGAAGCCAGAAGAACAGGCTTGAATTGCTGGAGCCTAATTCCGATCTCAAAGAAGTTTTAAACAAGTCTTTCTACACTGATCAAATAGAGTTTCACCTAATTTTCTCCTAATTTACACTGGCAGAGGAGAAATCAGGATTAGGACTTGTTGTCTAATGCTATTTGTTTTGAATTATTAAGCAAACATTCCTATTTCAATGAGTAAACGTGTACAAAGGCAACTAACCTTCGTCCTAAAATCTAGTTTACAGGGAGAGTATTGTCTGCTTTCCCAATTAATGCTGTAAAAAGGAGTCTCAGACGTTGAGCTACCAATCAAGAGCTTGTGTTGTAGCTTGAGAAAATCATGACTGATGCAATTACTTTTATGTAGAAAGTCTGAATATGGTCTATAGGTTAAAGTTCATCGGGTTATTGTTCCTTAATTGAATATCAGAAGATGTTTTCAAGGTGCTCAAGGTATTATTGTTATTTAATTAGCAGGCTTCCTTGTGTAATCCAACAGTATTATTTTTATTATAAAATAGTTAGATTGCACCATAAATATACACGGTATTTTCTAAACAGAGATACAGCTGATTTCCTGAAATCCAAGCTTAAATTTTTTTTTAAGAGTTACTCCTTTGAAGATGAAAAAGTCCATATCCAGTTATTTCTCTTCCACTACAGTCCAAGTGACAATGTATTAAGCTTTGGAGAACAGCTTTTTGGGAGACTTTGATTCCTTTTCAGTGTTTTGAAATTACACAAGTCCTCCAAACTAGCACTGAAGCCATTTCTAAAGCCTTTTTCATGTTCAGCATCTCACTATGCATAGCCATCTTAAAACCTTAAAATAGTAATAATCAATTAGGGTCTCAAGCCTATTATCTTAACCAAATGCCTGATTAAAGGAAAAGCCCTCTCTGCTCAAAGCGCAACTTGATTCCTTTTGGTTTTATCCTCTATCTAGATAATCCCATGTTTCACAAACAATGTGGAGCAATAATATTGATTAGAAAATTAATGTGTGTATCACACAGCACATGCAGGCCTTGAG